GATATGTTCGCAGCCAATTCTTCTTCTTTTTTTAAAATGGAGGACGAGTTTGACTATACAACCTGATATGTTCAGAAAGCATATTTCGAATTACAAGCATGAACCAACAGCAATGGAGTCCTCTACTCTCAAACCCCTCCTCTCACCCCAAAACCCCCTCTCTCCAGATCTGAATCCAACCCCTACCCAACAACCTTCGTCCAAGCCGACACCACCACATTCAAACAAGTCGTCCAAATGCTCACCGGATCGTCGAAAACCGCCAAGCAAGCCTCCAAACCACCGTCCTCCGCCGCAGATCCGCCGCCCTCCAAATCCTACATCCCACCAATCAAAAGCACAGGTCAAAAAAAACAAGGATTCAAGCTTTATGAGAGAAGGAACAGCCTCAAAAATGGCCTCATGATCAGCCCTCTGATCCCTAATTTGGGTCAGAATTCTGGGTTTTCGCCGAGGAAGACGACGGCGATGGAGAGCTTGTAATGATATAATGATACCTACACTCATGATCAGCCCTCTGATCCCTAATTTGGGTCACAATTTAAGAACAAAATTCTTCTTAAATCATATAATGATACCTACACTCTCTTTTTCATGTTTAAGAAATTCACAGGAGATGGAATGAGAAGGAATGCACTGACCTTTAAGAAATTCACAGTCACTCACAGTCGGTCGTAGGTCGTCGTTCACAGTCGCTGCTGCTCGTCACTCCGGCGAAGGCCGTCGTTCACCCTCGTCGGTCACTCTCATCGGTCACAGGAGATGGAACAAATTTGAGATTTTTGATTTTGAATGATTTTGATTTGAGGATTTCGGGGATTTTGGTTCTACTAACAGTTAGGGATTGGGATTTTGGAGATTTTAGGGATTTCGGTTTGAGCAATTTAGGAATGATTGAGGCGGAATGATTTTAGGGTCCTCGAATTCAAGTTTCGGTTTGAGCAATTTAGGAACCAATTTCGGTTTGAGGGATTTCGATTTTAGGGATTTTGGAGATATGAGGAATTTAGGAATTTGACCGGGAAATGGGATAGAACAGCGGGATACCAAATTTTATTTATTTGCGACGGTATATTTTAACCGTCGCAAATGAGCGTAATTAATAAATGAAACGACGTTGTTTTACCAGAGTTTTTTTGCGATGGGCTTCTGCCGTCGCAAATGGTCCACCATTTGCGACAGTAACATTTAACCGTCGCTAATAAGACGTTTGTTGCGACGGTATACCGTGCGTCGCCAATGTTTCTGCAAATTTCTTTTTACAATCTTTAGCGACAGAATACGCCCCGTCGCAAAAGTCCATGTTTCTCGACGGTAGATACACGCCGTCGCAAAGTCGTTTTTTGGCGACGGCAAATATATACCGTCGCAAAAAATTCTTTTTTTGGCGACGGTAACTATTTCCCGTCGCAAAAAACCCTTTTTTGCGACGGTAGTCACCCCGTCGCAAAAACCTTCGTGTTATTAGCCAGGTTTTCTTGTAGGTTTAACCATGCAAAAAGTATTAAACACTCACTCGAGGCTGCAGATGAAGTGGCCCTGAACAAAACACCCCCTGTATATTTATTTCACCAAATTAAATTGAACTATAATTTTACATAAATCAACGTTAATCACTGTTAAGGTTAAAACAAAGGGTCATTGATAAAGACCCAAGTAGCAGTGATGACCCAAACCCATCAACCAAGTTGTCTTTGTTCAGTTGCTCGTCTTTAACCACAAACTCCTCCAATTTCAGCAACAAACTCTCTGCCCTCTAATTCAGCACTACCCTACCACCAATGAATCATAGATGCAGTCACAGATGTTGAAGCCAGTGGTGATCACCACAACTTGGTTGAGCTGGTAACAGAATTCAAGAATGCCACGACCTGCATAGAACACTGAAGATGACAATCCCTGAATTGGTATATTACGGTGTTTCTAGAGAGAAAAAAATAGAGTTTTAAAGTTACGAATGAAACAAATCTGGGGAAATGAGAGGGAAGTGGCGTTTGATGTGCTCCAGAAGAAAGGGTTTGTGTCAAGTAAGATTGTGAGAAGACTAGCATCATCTGGTATTACTGAAACGAACATGAATAATCAGCTACAATAGACAGATAGTAATTCATATATATGATATATATGCAGATATTTTCATATACAGACCGAAACGAAATATATAAACGTGAATATAGAGATGCATAGAGAAATACCTCTGTAAAGCTTCGATGGAATTGCTGTCATTCGCACTTTTTGAGGAAGTAGTTGAAGGTGGTACATTACTCTTGCAACCTGAATCATCTTTTAACACTCTATCCTTTATTTCATCCAACTCATGTAGTATAATTTTCCTTTTTTCTCCACAATCAGAAGCAATTTCTAAAATTTCATCCAATATGTTATGCATCCTATCAATAAACTGTGTATTGGAAGTAACCCCCAGGTCATTGTACCCCCGATTCAAATCCTTTCTCCATCGTGGTAGAATGTAGTTATCTGGAACCTTGTTCATTTGTCTTGTAATGAGCACTGAGAGTGAGTGAGCACACATAATGCCCCTAAACTCAAACAAACGACAAGTACATTGGACTTCACATTTAGTTGAATTAAAGTAAACAAGAAAGTCCACATGCATCCACTTCTCACCAAGCATGACATCTTCCTTCACATTATATATACAAATTGATCCATCATCTTTGACAAAGGAGGGATGACAGTAAATTAGTCTCTTAAATTCCCCTTGAACTTCTTTGAATTTTGCATTGGTGTAGGCTTCTTGAAATTGCTTCTCGATACCATACATAGTTAGGCAATCATACAATTTGTGTCAAGATTTAAAGTCTGCTTTGTTTTCTTTCTCAACCTTACTCGTCAAAGCATTGTCACATTGTTCGACAAATTGCTTTAAAGTAGTCTTTGAATTGACATATCCATCAAAAAATACATGCATGCTCTCACTTTGTTCCATGGTTGACATGCCAGCCCAAAACATGTCTTTGGCATAGACTGGAACCCACCGATGCCTCTCATTATATAATCCCCTCAGCCACTCATTATCATAAAGATTGAAGTTTGAAATCATTACTTTCCATTTATGCTCAAATTCATCTTTTGTGAAAGAGTCGTAAACTACATTTTGCAAAGCCAACTTTATGGGTTCATATTGAGAATATCCTCTCAATTTCTCTAGAAGTTTCTTCATTACATGCCATAAGCACCATCGATGCCGAGCTTCTGGAAAGACAATCTATATAGCATTTTGCATAGCGCTACACTGGTCAGTTATTATAGCTTTTGGAGGATGCCCTAACATGCAACTTAACCATGATTTGAACAACCAAACATATGTATTAGTGTCCTCACTAGATAACAACCCACACCCAAACAAAATGGATTGCCCGTGGTGATTAACTCCTACAAATAGAGCAAGCGGCAAATCATATTTGTTCATAAGATAGGTTGTGTCAAATGTGACAACATCCCCAAACGCTTCATAAGTCACCCTACTCCTTGCATCCGCCCAAAAGAAATTCCTAACATACCCATCATCACCAAAGTTCATTACATAAAAGAAGTTTGAATTTTGTTTTTTCATCCTTAAAAAATAATCTTGAATTAAATTGGCACCCCCTACCGCAAGCCTCCTCAATCTTTTCGCTCTCTCAATGTAATCGTCGCAATCTCGTTCATCAAATGTCAATTGTACATATCCCTCAACTACATCAACTAGTGAATGAAAATCGCTAGACACCCCAATCCCTGCTTGATCATTTACTTCCAATCTTCTCTTCATAGAAGTATGAAGCCTCTTATTACTTTTAAAATGTCGAAAGTCAGTAGGAAACAAGTCATGATTATGTTCAAGTATAATTGTGGTTAACATAAATCTCCCATCTTTTTGTAGACTTGCTCGTACCTTTGCTTTGCAACCAATTTTTGTGGACAAGGATGGCTTGAGAGGGTTTACTTCTGATTTTTTTTTTCCTCCTCCCTGCTCGAGAACATTCAATTCCAAAGTATTTTAATTCCCCTTCATATCCAGTACTTTGTGTTCTATTAGCTATATGAAATCCAACACGTTCAGCATATTTGGCATAAAATGTGTAAACTTCTTCTTTTGAGCTAAAAGTCATTCCCCTCTTGGGTTCTTCAGCTTCTTCACGATTTAATGAAGGATTGTCATTGTTTGAGTCAATCTCCATTATTGCAATCTTCTACAAAACAATAATTCTAGCAATCAGAAGAGATAGTATCTATTAAAGACATGATCATGGTTAGTTTGATTATCAAAGAGGTCGAATATGAATATGGACATAACCTAAATGTTTTTATCTTCTTTCTTAACTTCAACTTAAAAAATAAGTAACCGTATTCTCCACAATCAACAACAATAGAATTTGCCTCTTCTTGATTCCATCTTGCGTTTGGTTACCTTTCTCCTCTCGCGTTTGACACGCGTTTGGATGCCTTTCTCCTTTCGTGTTTTACATGCGTTTGGACGTACCTTTCTCCTCTCGCGTTTGACACGCGTTTGGATGCCTTTCTTCTTTCGCGTTTGACACGCGCTTGGATGCCCTTCTCCTCTCGCGTTTGACACGCATTTGGATGACTGTGCTTTCTTGCACAGTCCTTCTCCTTTTGCGTTTGATACGCTAGAAGGTGTTTCGTTTGAGACTTTGGGTGCTCCCAATAGTCGTTTTTAGTCTTTCCTGAGTGAGCCGTGGTTAAGATTGCTTAATTTTCCTACATCCTTTTTGCATGAGATGTAGTTCAGTTTGTAGTTCCCACGCGTGGTGTGTTTGGTTACTTGCTTATGTACGAGTTTGTTGTAGCATTTCTTTGCATAACATTTGCATCTAGATATTTCGTTGTAGCCCTCTTTGCATAATCATAAGTTATGTTCTGCATTGTGCATGTAATTTGCATTTTGCCCCTGCCTGCGGGCACATCTATTTTGTTATCTTGCCTGTTTGTCTAAGTCTTCAGCCTTGTCAAAAATGGGTTGTCTCTGGCTTTAACATTCACTCCCGTCATTTCATGACTTCGAGTTCTGTGAAAGAGGGGCAACTGTAGACACCCCATTTTTGACCGACCTTAAGACTCAGATGTCATCGGTTGTGCACTCGATGATTGCGCATGTCTATGCTTCTTTCGAGTGCCCGAAGGTCTCGGCTGGGTGCCTTGTCTTTGAGCCTCTTAACCCTTTGTGTTTTGGCCTTGGTTTTTGGGCCAAACCTTGTTGCCTCTTGCCTTGGGGAGAAGTGGGCCTTGCCGGCCACTTTTCGCGTTTGTTGGCCATTTTTCCCTCTTGTAGGCCACTTAAAGTGGCCGGCCGTCCAATTAACTGGCCGGCAGGCCACCTTAACTGGCCGACAACCACTTTTTCTCCTTTTTCGATATTTTCAGATATTTTCAGCCAGCTGTGGTTCACTGAACTCATCCTCCATGTATGGAGGGATTGAGCAAGCTTTTTAGCTTGCTTATTCTATATAAGGAGAGGCCTCTCTCCCTCTCCAAGGGTTCAGAATTTTGAGAAGCAAAAATTTCTCTCTCTCTAGATTTCTCTCTCTCTCTCTCTCTCTCTCTATATATATATATATATATTGTGCTCAGAAGTGTATTTTCTTTGCATTTTTGTACACAACCCTCTTAGCCAAACACCCTATCTTGGAGCTGAGGTTTCTTAAGGTTTGTTTGGAGCTTCTTAAAGTTGGTTTTGGCTCAGAAGTGGTGTTATTGCTGTGCTTCAAGGGTGAGTCCCATATCCTCTTTAAAGTTTTACTTTCATTGCTTATTTGGCCATCCTTGCATGCTATTTTAGGCCTTGCTTGAAACTATAATAACCTTTGTTTCTAAGTGCTTAAAATGGTTGTTTGAGGCCTCTTTGGTGTTGAGGGTGTTCTACCCTCTTGTGTGCCTTATTTGCTTAAGCTTGGTGCCATCTTTTAAAGCTATAGAGGCACCCTTTGTTTGGCCTTTCTACCACTGAAACTCAGAGGAATTTCAGTGGTAGAAACCATGTTTTAAGGTCTAAAGTAGGAGGGGGTGGCCTCTCCTCCTTGCTTCTTGGTTCTATGTCATGTTGGCCTCATACTTGAGCATATTTTTCTGGCATGTGTTGGCTTGATCTCAGCCTATTTTTGGTCTTATTTCAGTATGTTGTAGATCTGTTTTGGTTTGGTTGAGTCACCTCTTGCATGCTTCATGTACTTGTAGTGCAATCCTACTCATAAGCCTAACATGTTTCATGATTTGGCATATTATTCTAGTATGTATTGGCTTCATTCCAACATGTTTTTGGCCATTATTTAACATGCTTTAACTCTGATTTTGGTTGGCGGGGTCACCTTTTGCTTGGTTTTTGCACTTGTAGTGCAATCATGCTCACTAGCTTTACATACTTGGTGTTTTGGCCTTTCATTCTAGCACGTGTTAGCTATACTCTATACATGTTTTGGCATTATTTTGACATGCATTAGGACTGTTTTGAGTGTTCTTGGTCTTTTGGGGCTTGCTTTGTATAGCTATGGCATAGATGGCTTTACTAGTCTTGGGTTTTGAGGCCCTTAGCATGCTATATTTGTGATGTGTGCATGATATGGCATCGTTTGGTATGAAATTTCAGAGCATATACTTCCATCATACACTCATATATATCACTCTTCCATTGTGTTTGAGAGTTGTGTTTAATGCCTAGCTTGTGAGCCAATACATGAGGATGTTGTTGTAGCTTTTAGTGCTTCATTTCCAGCATGATTTTGCCACTGTTTTGGCATGGTGTAGGTCTGTCCATAGTTGGTTTGACCATTTGAGATTGTTAATGCATGCCTCATGTGTAATGTCCTTCACTTGCTTTAGTGCTCTTAGCCTCTTAGCATGCATTGCATGAGTTGTTAGCATGTTTTAGCATCATTTGTCGTGCCATTTCAGTGTTGAAATGTATACCATTGCATGCCATCTTTCATTTGTTGTATCACTTTGAAAGAGGTCTTGAACCCTTTGTTGGTTTGAGCACGAAATTGAGGCATTCATGCTTGACGACATGATGCTTCTTTCATGCTCAAGAAGCTTGTGGCTTAGTCCGTCTTTCCAAATTAGAGGACTTCTCGCTTTTGGACTTAACCGGTTAAAGGGCTTATTGGTAATCTAAAACGAGTAAACAAAATGAATCAAAGTAAAACATGCCAAGATAACATGTTTGTGTTGCATTGCATGTGGTTGGATCGGACGTTAATCCAAACACGAGAAATGAGAGACGTTTCATACTTGAAGTGATGAAACGTGCCTTATTTCTTAGTCGCCGACCCTCTTGACCATGCATGATAGAGGAGGAGGCTTTTATGTGTTATTTGTGCATTCACTAACATTGTGCAAGCTTGGCTCTTTGGCCATCATGTATTGAGATGCGTGATTGGTGGCTTGAGAGCCGAGTACTAAGCTTCTTTGAGCTTGAGAAATGATAAGGAGAGTAGTTGCACACACATTTCCTTGTAAATGCATTGTTGTGCCCTTGTTGATCTCTGTTGCAGCAAAGTTGAGATTCTAGAAAGGTAAGTGGTGTAGACACCCCATTTTTGACCGACCTTAAGGCTCAGACGTCACCGATTGAGCGCTTGGTGATGTTGCATGATGTGCTCATTCAGAAGTTTCAGAGTCGCGGCCGTGAGCCCTGCCTCCGGACTTCCGATCCCTCTTTTGTACTTTGTCTCGGTTTGCGAACCAAGCTCGGTTTTCTTTGTTTCTTTTCCTGAGGGAAGGGAGAGGTCCCGTAGACCATCTCTCAGTGGCCGTAGGCTACATTTGGTGGCTGTAGGCCATTTTTCCCATTTCAGAGTCCGGTTCCCGGTTTTCGGAGCCGTCAGGCCGTGTGCCTCGGTTCGGGACCGCTTAACCATCTCCTATTGCTCCGGTTTTTGGCATACTTCCTATTTTCTCCCTTTTGAGGGACACTGGGGGCTGAGAAACCCACTTCGTGGCCGAACTCCACTTTCGGTGCTTAACAGCCCATTTTCGGGACCTCGAACTACGCGTTTTGGTCCCCGAGCATTCGTTTTGCAACGGTTTTCGCTCATTTTTGGCAGGTACCTCTGTTTTATCACCGGGGAGGTCACTGAAGGGTGGGAGGCCAGCAATAGTAATTATTGCAGCAGCCCAGTGACTATCTCCTCCGAAGCATCCGACGCCCGTCTTTTTCTTGACTTCGGGCTAATGTTGAACACCTTGCCGAGTAATGTGTTGCCAATTTATAGCAACCATACATATATTCGTAGTGACTGTAACACATGGGAGGCCCTAAACAGTGGTGGCCGGCCATGTAATGTTACCTGACCCTTTTGACCCCTTTTTCTTCCGGACTAATGAAAAAGACCCCTTGGGCCACATTCTGAACCTGAACCCTGTTCAACTCACTATATCTGTGATGTACACACGATGGGACGACCTAAAAAAGTGGGTGAGCCGGCCATTACATGCTACTTGACCCTTTTGAAGCCGGCCTCTTATTCCGAGCTATTATGTTGCTGAACCCTTAACGGACCCAACTTTCTTGGTATTTATACCACCTGGCTGTGTTGTAGGCCGCACATTACGGAGTTCCCACCAGTTAGGTAGCGCCACCAGAGAAAAATCTGATTGAACCTTTGACCACCCGTAAGCTCGGCCGGTCTAGGGGTTGTGCCGGCCGGCCACCTGGAGCAAGTAATACGGGCGGCCCGTCCCGTTCCTGTCGCACTCGTGCACTTTACAGCTGTGGGCAATATCTCCCAGAAAAGGATCTTTTCCGGGGATATTTTGTGGGGGAAGTTTTGCTCTGCCTTTTCCCCCCGACCGTTTACACACCCCCCTTGTTGAACCCTTATAACCAGCTGGTGGCCCTCTCTTTTGGGTGTAAAAAACTCTTCTTCAAGCCTCCAGTACACAACTCCATCTTCATCCTTCTCACTTCTTTGAAAAGCCCTAAGTCCCCTAACCATCCATTCCTGGGTCTACAGCCCACCAAGCTCTCGCTAACCCACCACCAACCCTTTTCCGCAGACAACAAGGAAGGTTCGTCAAAGGCCAAAGGAGCTGCAAATGATCATCCAAGAAGTGCGCAACAAAAGTTGTGATTTCTCAGGGTGAAGTAATACTTTTAGCCCTTTGACCTTTTCTTGATCTTGTTTTGCTCAAGCCCCCAACATTGCATTTTTTGTTTCAAGCTCCG